AGCGAGATACCAAGAGGGAGAAGCCGTGGCTGGGATCCGTGACATACATTCTCTCACCACATGCACCCGGCTGCAAAGCACCATTAGGCTTCTTTTTCTACTGAACGTTAAGTGATGTGCCAGGATTTGAACCCAGGTCTGTCTTATCCTGAAGTCTGTTGCCTTCCTGGTATTCATTTCTGGGACACAGGACAAAGAGAGATGGTCAGAAGGATTGTGGAGATGGACAGAGGTAGACACGCCGTCCTCCCTGCCCCAGGGGTGATAGCAGTGGGCTGGTCCATCACCAAGTTAAGTCCCTGGGGCTCTGCTTCCTCCAGGCCCTCCAACTTCAGCTGGACTTGAGGAATCCATGCTGGCACTTGGTGTTCCCTCTCTTTGCACCTGCGTTAATGACAGAAGCTGTGAAAAGAGCCCGTCGTTTGCTAATAACAGCCCTCTTGTCTTAATTACCTAACTAACTGGCACTCTTGGTGGCTCACCTAGGCTGCCAGTCCCGGTGGGCATCTCTGCCTCCCCTCCACTCCTTCCCCACCATCTGCCGATCTTCAGCGTCTGCCAGAATCCTTCTATTTATGCTCTTCCCAAGTGGCGTTCGTCTTGGCTTCCCTTTAAGTTTAGCTCTCAGGTGTTTCTCCCACCTTCAGACGAAGTCTATAATTAAGGGTTTCCTTCACTATGCAAAGACATAGCGTTCCTACAAAACCTTTTCTAAAGTAAAGAAGTTAGTATAGATCATTTATACAGGAAGAAAGTTTTCAGTGTTCCCAGACCCCGAAAAATGCCTGCTAAATCATACCTACTACCCAGTAAAGTCCCAGATAACATTAAGCTGTAATGTTTGCAGGCACAGTTCAGTAGCTTGATGTGGGCTCGCTGTGTGTAATTCCTGGGGAAGGAGGTAGAGGGCACATGTTGCTTCTTTACGAACTTGCTGCTAAGCAAATGTTGAACACCACTTTCACATTTTCCCCTAAAAGTTAAAATCGGCTTCAATTTTCTTTCGGAAGCACTTGCTGCAGAAAGAGAAGGACCATAGTCTTCAATATGTATTGAAGCTCAAGATCAAGAAGACAAAGATTCTCACGACTGGGCCAGTTGGTAACACCATATTAGATGGAGAAGACATTGAGGTTGTTAACAATTTCAGCTTGCTCAGCTCCACCATCAACGCTCTTGGCATCAGCACTCAGGAAATCAGAAGACGAATTGCACTGGGAAAATCTGCCGTCAGGAACCTCTCCAGAGTACTGAGAAGCAATGATGCCAGTCTAGAGACTGAGGTGAGCCTGATTCAGGCCATGGTCTTCACAATTGTGATGCATCAGAGAGCTAGATAATAACTAAGGATGGCAGAAGAAGAATCGATGCCTTTGAGTTGTGGTGCTAGAGAAGAGTATTGAACATACCAAGGATGGCCAAGCAAACAAATAGATCTGTCTTGGAGAGGGTACAAACAAGTTTCTCCTTGGAGGCTAACATTTTAACGTTCTGCTCACATACGTGGGGCACATGGCCAGGAAGAACCGATCCTTCGAGAAGGACATCATGTTGGGAGGGTGGAGCAACGGCACAGGAGAGGAAGACCCTGGATGAGATGGATGGTAACTGGGACAGTGAGGGTAGCTGTGTCAGAGTCAGAGTAGAGAAGCAGGGGTTTGAGGTTCAAACTCTCCCTCTGTCCCCAGCCAGCTGTTATACTTTGGAAAGTTCAGATTCTTAGCAATTAACTGAGACCTTCTCTCTCGAGCTTCCCCAGAGAGCTCATGTCAGCACTCTGTAAGTCAAAGGGCTGGGATGCCTACTAAATCATTAAAAGGAGTTTATTTTGCTAATTAGTGTCAGTTATATTGTTTTGAGTTATATGAGTGTTTACATTAAAATGACTAATTTGAGCAAAATTTTTAACAAAAGTACCCATCAACTGTTCTTTATAGTTTTGATACTTTCTACCCACTGGTGCCCCCCTCAGTCCTTCGTAAGTGTTTGTCCCTTCTCTCCAGTGAGTCAGGAGCCTCTGAGGAAGAGTTCGGTCCTAGAGCCAATGGTACTGATGGAGGAGGACTGAAATCTTTGCTGTGTTGGTACAGACAATGTGGAGGACGGCATGTTTATAAATATTAGTCTCCCTGAAGAAAGAAGACTGGCCTGATGTTGGCATCTAACTTTCCTACTCTTGTGACCATAGCCATGGTCATAGGAAACTTTTGAGTTCATGGTTTCCTAAAAGGAGATCACCTCCCCCATGATGAAGACTCATCTCTAGCACCGTTGGACATAGCCACTGCTGCTGACCTGAAATGCATCTCTAACCTACATCAGGCACCTCAGATGGGACACTCATGTTGCCATCTCTCCAGGGTGGGCATGTTCTGCTGTAGTCAAGGAGACACAAGCCAGGGAGGCATGAGGCTCTCCTCATAGAGAGAGCCCTGCCAGGGGGCTTCCCTTCCCAAATAAGACAAAGACTGAGTCGGAGAAAGATTTCTGCTTTTCTACTTCCTTCCTGCCTAGGAAAAAGCCCCAGGATGGTGCAGTCTCTGCAGGTCGCCAGCCAGTTGCTGTCTAGTTCACTCTAATTCCCTGGGACCTCCTGCGTATCAGAGTGGAAGTGTGTTCCGTGGACTTCCAGTAGCTAGTTCTTGGAAGCAGATCATCAGATCTTTCTTCTGAGGTTCTTCTAGGTAAACTTGAACCTTCAGCTTTTCAGCTTCTGAATTCCTGCATCTCTCAGCGACTTCACTTTACAACCTTGAAGAGCAAAGGAACAAAAAGATGGAAGGAGCCTGGGTCAGTCACCATGTCATTGGGTTGCCATGTCAACCTGGAGCTTCTTGTTTCAAGAGCTAGTGGCACATTGGTTAAACACATGACTACTAACCAAAAGGTAACTGATTCAGAACCAACCCGTGGGTCCATCGGAAAAGCCCTAGCAACTTGCTCGTTGCAGCCTACAAAACTTATGAGACAAAACCTTCTATTCTGTCACATGAAGTCAATATAAACTGAAAATCAACTGGATGGCAATAATGTATAACAAAACAATAACAACAAAAAAAATACAATAACCAAAAAACTTTGTGTGTTTCACAGGAATTATGGAAGGCAGGCCAGGCCCTGCCAGGTGCCCTCAGGCCGTTGGGCCTAGCGGCCCTCGGGCCTATACTAAGAACCAGTACTAAAGATTCAGCCAAGCCACTGTCTATGCCAGTATCCCCACCCAGGACACCATTCTGCCCTGCTGCCATGGATCTCAGCTGGGGTCTGAAAGGGGTGTCCTGTACCAGGATATGTGTATACTTACTCATCTCTAAGGTTTGCTTTTAGAGGTACAACACCTGTCTGTCAGTTCATTTATTGAGGAATGATTTGCATATTGCCAATTACTTTATATCTTAGGTGTGTATTAGGTGGTTGTTAGGTACCATCGAGTCAAATACTACTCATAGTGATCCTGTGAACAGTAGATGTATAGAGACTTGGGTAGTAGTATTGTTTGCTGTAATGAGTCCAGCACTTGTCTGTCAGTCTGTTGTACTGGTGTAGCTATTGGGTCCTCTAATGTTGGAATCTGGGCCACCAGTGTCTCAGTATCTCAGGTACCAGAGGGTCCACCCCTGGTAGAGAAGTTGCAATGGAGCTCCTAGATAAAGACAGACTAGGGAAAAGGATTGGCCATCCACTTCTGAAACAAGGAGCCTTCAAAAACTCTGTGGACAGAGGAATGTGTGTAGTTATAGTAGTAGAGGAAGAGTCTAGCTACAAAGTCACTAAAAATTAGTAGAAACAGCTGCAAATTGCCATTAATAATTGGAACATGTATGAAGTATGAATGCAGAAAAATAAGAAGTTGTCAAAAGCGAAATGGAAGGGAGCTCTGGTGGCCTAGTGGCAAGAAGCCACACTGCAATCCCAGAGGTGCGCAGGTTCGAATCCACCAGATATTCTGATCCAATTTGATGGTACACACACA